TACCATTATTTGAATTTATCAATTATTAAATGTGGATATTAAATCGAGCATAATTAATCTTTTTTTGTTCTCTCTACAGTTACCTCATCTGCTACTATATCTGCCAATATTAATTCTATTTCCATACTTCATGGATCTAGACTTTACTCTTCGGATAGAGCAACCCACTCCTTTTACGAAAGAAAGTTCACCTGATGAAAAAAGGAACTTTGAGAAGTGGGATCGCTCAAATCACATGAGTCTAATGATCTTTAAGCACGGCATTCCAGAAGCCTTTAAAGGTGCAGATACCGAAAAGGTATCTAATGTCAAGGAGTTCCTTGCTGAAATTGAGAAGGGTTTTGCGAAAACGATAAGGCTGAAACAAGCACTCTTTTGCAGAGCTTGATTTCAATGAAGTATAGATGCAAGGGGAACATAAGGGAGTACATCATGGAGATGTCTCACATTGCTTCAAAACTTAAGGGACTAAAGCTCGAGTTGTCTGATGACTTACTCGTCCATTTGGTATTGATCTCGCTTCCTACACAATTCAATCAATTTAAGGTCAGTCATAACTGCCAGAAGGAGAAATGATCTTTAAATGAGCTCATTTCATATTGTGTGCAAGAGGAAGAAAGGTTGAAGCAAGAAAGGCTTGAAAGTGCTCACTTGGCAAACACTTCCAAGGATAAGGGCAAGAAAAAGAGTAAGGAATATGAAACTGCTCATAAGAGTCCAACACAAAAGAAAAAGAAGGAAGACAAAGGAACTTGTTTCTTTTGCAACAAAATTGGACATGTAAAGAAGGATTGTGCCAAATATCGCGATTAGCGTGCAAAGAAAGGTACGATTCTTACTTTGGTCTATTTTGAGGATAGTTTAGCTTCAGTATCTAGAAACACTTGGTGGATAGATTCCGATGCTACTGCTTATATAAGTGTTTCTATGTAGGGCTGCCTGAACTACCGAAAGCTAAATGATGGTGAAAGATACATCTATGTGGGTGATGGCAAATCGGTGGAAGTTGATGTAATAGACACTTTTAGGTTGTTATTAAGAACTGGTTATTATTTGGATTTGAAAGACACTTTCGTTGTACTGTCTTTTAGACGAAATTCAATTTCTGTTTCTTCGTTGGACAAATTTGGATATTGTTGTTCATTTGGAAACAATCAGTTTAGTCTTTTGTTAAATTCAAACGTTATTGGTACTGGTTCGTTATCTACATATGATAACCTATATTTGCTTAATATTATTGCATCATATAATGAAACCTTGCATGTGGAATCACGTGGTATTAAACGCAAATTAAATAAAGAAAATTCAGCAAAATTATGGCACAAGCGCTTAGGTCACAGATCAAAAGCTAGAGTTGAACGACTTGTGTCGGATGGTATTTTAAGTTCCCTTGACTTTACAGATTTTGATGTATGTATTGATTGTATCAAGGGAAAACAGACCAAAATAAAGAGATTAGGTGCTAACAGAACTTTAGATGTCTTTGAATTGATACATACAGATATTTGTGGACCATTCCCTACGGCTTCCTGGAATGGTCAACAATATTTTATATTATTCATAGACGATTACTCACATTATGGGTTCCTATATCTCATTCATGAAAAGTCTGAGTCACTGGACATGTTCAAAATTTTTAAAACTGAGGTTGAAAATCAACTCAACAAAAGGATAAAGAACTTTAGATCTGATTGTGGTGGTGAGTACTACGGCAGATATGACGGATCAGGTGAACAATGTCCAGGACCATTTGCCAAATACCTAAAGGAATGTGGAATCATCCCTCAATACACTATGCCAGAATCACCTAGCATGAATGGTGTAGCTTAAAGATGAAACAGAACTCTTAAGGACATGGTAAGGAGTATGATTAGTCATTCAAACTTACCAAAATCACTATGGGGAGAGGCATTAAAGACCGCAACTTATATTCTGAACAGAGTACCAACTAAGGCTGCTGCTAAAACACCTTATGAGCTTTGGACAGGCAGAAAACCTAGTCTAAGGCATTTTCAAGTTTGGGGATGTCCAACTGAGGCTAGGCCTTATAGGCCACATGAAAAGAAATTGGACTCCAAAACGGTAAGCAGCTACTTTATTGGCTATTCTGAGCGATCTAGGGGCTACAAATTTTATGATCCCACACTTAAGTCAATTTTTGAAACGGGAACTGCAATATTTTTTGAGGATGTTGAGTTGGAGGGAGAAATAAGGTTAGAGACATTGTCTTTGAGGAAGAAATTGAGGGAGGATTGGTCTTGATTCCTACTATTACTTTTAACAATGTACATGTTTCTATACCTGTCATTGATCAAAAAGTATATCCAGAACCTCAACAAGATAATGTTGAAGAACCTCTAACCCAAAATGAGATAATTATTCCAGAAGTACAAACTCAACAACCTCAAGAACCAATGCCATTAAGGAGATCCACGAGAGAAAGGAAAAATGCTATTTCAGATGATTTTATAGTATTTCTCCAAGAACATAAGGAAAATAATAGAATGATGGAAGATGATCCAATCAATTTCCATCAGGGCATGCAGGGTTCTAACTCTCAAAAGTGGATTGATGCCATGAATGAGGAGTATAAGTCTATGCGAGATAATAAGGTTTGGGATCTTGTCCCGTTACCAGAAGGTGCGAAGTCCATCGGTTGCAAATGAATTTTTAAAACCAAAAGGGATTCGAAAGGTAATGTGGAAAGATATAAGGCTCGTCTTGCCCGAAGAATAAGGTTTGCAAATTAAAGAAATCCATCTATGGGCTCAAGCAAGCTTCCCGTCAATGGTCCACAAATTTCATCAAGTAATTATCTCATTTGATTTTGAGATGAATGTTGTTGATGATTGTGTGTATCACAAGTTCAGTGAGAGTAAGCATATTTTACTGGTTTTGTATGTTGATGACATACTGTTTGCCAGTAATGATATAGGCATTTTGCACGAAATCAAGAGATTTTTATCAAGGAATTTTGAGATGAAAGATCTTGGTGACGCCTCTTTGTATTAGGGATTCAGATACATCGGGATCGCTCTCGAAGTATTTTTGAATTGTCACAAAAGAGCTATATCGATAAAGTACTTGAGAGGTTTGGCATGCAAGACTGCAAACCAAGTGACACCCCTGTCATTAAGGGAGACAAATTTAGTCTCAAACAATGCCTGCAAAATAACCTTGAAGTTAAGGAAATGTAGAAGATTCCCTATGCATTAGCTATTGGGAGTCTAATGTATGCTCAAATTTGTACATGTCCAGACATAGCATTTATTGTTGGAATGCTAGGCGGATATTTAAGCAACCCTGGAATGGATAATTGGAAAGCGGCCAAAAGGGTTATGAGGTATTTAAAGAGAACAAAGGATTACATGCTCACATATAACAGATCGGATCAGTTGGAGATCATAGGGTACTCCAATTCTGATTTTGCTGGATACCAAGACAGTAGAAGATCCACATCAGGCTATATCTATCTGCTAATTGGAGGAGCTACTTCCTGGAAGAGTGCCAAACAGACACTCATAACTTCTTCTACCATGGCTGCAGAGTTTGGAGCATGCTATGAGGCATCTAACCAAGGAATATGGCTGCGAAACTTTGTCACTGGGCTGCGCATTCTGAACGGCATAGAAAGACCACTAAAGTTACACCGTGACAACAACTCGACAGTTCTGTATTCCAACAACAACAGGAGCACATCTAAGTCAAAATACATTGACATTAAATTCCTGGTCGTGAAGGAAAGAGTACAGAGTGGACAAATTTTCATAGAGCACATTGGGACGAACTCCATGATTGCGGATCCGCTTACTAAGGGATTGCCACCCAAGGTCTTTCATGAGCACACTGCTCGTATGGGTGTCAGATTTATTGAGGATATCGTGTTTTAGTGGGAGTTTGTGTTCTTATTGCTTTATGTTTAATTGGACACATTTGTGTATTTGGATATTTTTCTATACAGAAATAAAGTATTTAGTTCATTTCACTTTGTTATTATATTCAGTATTGATCTCACTTAAAATATAAGGTTGGAAATAGATATGTTTGGATCACATAACATGTAATTTCCATGCTACGCTTCCATGATTGATCTGTCATTTGGTTGTATGGGTGTACGCGACCATTGATGGATTTAGGCACATTAAGTGTGACGAAAATTGCTTTGATCCTACATCAATATGACTAATGGACGAGATTGTTTGGAATTACCCATAATTATGATAGCAAATTTTAAGCTCATAAGGTTGTGCACATTTAAAAGATTACATGTATGGCCCAGTGGGAGATTGTTGAAATTTTTTTATCAATTGGGGCCACACATGTATATGATTAAAGTGTGCGTTGTTATCTTATAGTTTTAGTCCATTAAAGCGATCCAATGAATTTAATTTTGAACTAATGGGTATCAATTATTATGAGATTAAAGTGTAGAGGCCGGGTTGTTGTTTTAAATTGATGGGGAGCCAATTTAAAACAAACAAAAGATGATAACTGCCTACAGTTATTTATCTTGGGGTCATGGTTCCCAATTGACGTGATATTCCATAACCTCTGCATCCCCATCAACAGAGAGTTTTTTCAAGAATTCCAAGGGAAATCACGGATCAATTGGAAGATTGTAACCCGTTCAAAATCACTGTTAATCTATGGATCAAGGTACGCTTCCGCTTTCTTATTTTCTTTGATTCAACGTGGAACATTACGATTTTGGTGAAATGATCTGTTGATTCTTTCAAATCTGAATTATCAAAATTCTATCATCCCAAGCATGTAATATTCACGACCAAGATCCCTTGGTGCTCGGGCATTACGGTCCTCAAGATGATGTTACATGGTGACAGGGCTCGGGCAAGAGGTACTCGAGATAAGGAATCTCCTCTTTCTTATGGGATTCCTTGATACACATGAATTCTACCTTCGAAGTACCACCCTTACCCAAACACAGTGGTCTCATAATGTTTACCACTTGAAGGACTTTTAACATCTTCCAGGACTCTCAAATAGATATGGCACCAAGCGACCCGATCCTATAAGGATTGTGCGGCCTACTCTATAAATACTGGACCTTGCGCGTAAACCTTCTTCTAGTTACGCTTCAGGCGCTGGCATCATTCTCAATTCCAGATCTACCCTATAGCTGAAGTCCTCTTTAAACTCAAAACAGTTCCGGGCCTTCCGGCACTACCATGCAACTATCTGGATAAAGAACATGTCCTCTTGGTCAACTCTCCGACGAACCTCACCAACGTTCCACCTACAACAGATCCGCCAATTCTCGGCCCACGCCCCTCCTCCTGGAACCACTACTTTTCTTAACAGTTCTACTACTAACAACAATGTTAGAACAAACTTCCTTAGATGGATATCTGCGGGAATAATTACTAGCTCTGCCCTTGCCCTCGCACTACACTCCTGTTCTTCTTCTTCTCTTCCTTCTACATCTCCATCTTTAGCCTTCGCTGATTGCTCAACGACACCTCTGACCACCACCACCGGCCCCACGGTTCCTTCACATCAATCAAAATTTCTATTTGGAGGTAAACAAAGGTTAAGTAGTTACTGCCATCATGGTTTGTATGGATGTTGGTAAATTTAGTTTGGTTGTCGTGTGATTGCAGATGCATATCGGAGGAAAATCTTCTTTAATTACGAGAAACGCATACGGATGCGAAGCCCTCCTGAAAAGGTGCTCCTTTTTTTTTTTTTTTTTTTTAAGGGCCC